AAAAATAACTTTAAAACTTATTTCAAAATAGCAACACTTTATATACATATATAATGTATAATAATTGAAATGTGACTGTGTTTTACAACATACTGGTCGACTAAAACACAGCCAAGACAAGTTACTTTGTACAGACCAAAGATCACCTTTATGTCATTAAATACGATAACATGAGTGCACATGAGCCGCATCGTTGTAACTTCTTTATTGTTAGCCAGGCACGGGTGAAAGGTCAATATAATAAAAATAATAAATATATATAAATGTTTAGAGATTTAAGCTATTTCATCTAAACATTTATGTTTTATGTTATAATTTGTGTTCATTCTAGAATGAAAGAGGCATAATTTATGTTTATTTCCTAATTTTTTATGGTGGTTGTGAGATCGGTCAAATTTACCAAACCCATACAGAGATTAATTACTGAAAATAACAGGTAAAATATAGTTTTTTTTTAAGTAAATGTGTGATAACTATCCAGACATTATAAAGATTTCGCATGTGAAATTTCAAAATTTTCTGATGCATAAAAGTATTTTTAATCTTAAAATGAAAATTACTTTGCATGATAGATAGGCAAGATGTGAAAAGAAAAAAAGGCATGAGAGAAACATTGCTTTACAATCCTTAAGACTTAATAAAAAATAAGACATTTTCCATATGAAAGAATTGTAATGTTTACTGATAAACTGCTAAATTTCATTAACATTTCCTTACTAATTTAAAAGTTATAGCATGAAAATTATAACAAGCACAAAACGGTTACAAGGTTGGTCCCAGGGACCGAGCCCGAGTTGAAAGATTTAAGAACTTAAACTTATATAATATTAAAATTTAGATTATTAGTTATGTTTTTATGACAAATTATAAATATACCATTTTAAGAAGTAGTTTAATTAAATTTTGAATGTAACTCGCTAAAACTTCATGAGACGTGCAGAAAAAGATGCCCATAGTGAAAGTATTATTGTGTAATCTGACACAATTTGATCTAAACAAATACTAATTTGAAGAAACTTCAGTGACTATAAATATTGAAACATACATCACAGGACAGAAATGTAAACAGTAGAAAATGAAGATGCTAAAGGTCGTAGTAAAATGTTCTTTACAAATAACTAATTCTCTACCTTCTTAGGAGTTACATCTTCAAATTCACAGGTCAAAAAAATAGTTAAGACTTAACATTTTAGCACCATTTATCTTAATGGAAGTTTGCATTTAGAATCAAAAAGTTATTTACATGTATGTAACAAACACTAAACTGATGTTTCATGTTAATTATGCTTCAAACTTTAATTAAATCTACATGCATGTTGATAATACCACATTCACAATTATCAAATATGCTACTTATTAATTTAACTTTTTTACTTTATGATATATAAATACATGCATAAATTTGATTTAGTATTTATATTTTTTTATTGTGAATTTTCCAAAATTTTATTGAAACACTGTTTTGTAAAAAACATACTTCCTTTTGTTTTATAATTTTTTCTATGTTGGTAAAAAGTTTAATTTTGTATATCCCATCAGTTTCAACTTGATTTATTTTCATTAAAATATTTCTTTTGTTAATTTATTTTAACGATGCAGCTATAAATAATAAAAAAACAGCAAAACACTATGAAAACCTTATCTCCAACCTAGGTCCTTATCTTTTATAATGATATCACCATTACCTTTGTCAGGCTAAGTATCATGATTTTTGCTAATAATATTCTTAGTTGAGATCAACTTATTATTTATTAGACACAAGTTATTTCATTTATGTGCATTGTTTGGATATGATAAAATTAACAATAACATTCAATAAATGTTTTGTGCCATTGAAATATTTTTCCACACTCACTAAACCAAACTAAGACCTTATGTCTAGTCATAGAACATTTCTGTAAATTTCAGGCAGATACGAGTTAACAATCTCAAGAAATGAAAGTTTAAACTTTTTTGTCTTTGAAAATTATAAATGTTATAAATAAATAAATGTTATAAATTTAAAAAATACCAATTCTAAAACATTTTTGAATTGAATGTTGTTCAAACTGAGTTGGAATTATTATTTATAATTAAATTTCAAATCTTGATATGCAGATTTGCATTCAACATCTGAAAGATGCTTTCCAGTCATGGTAGGGTTAATTCATCCCAATATTCAAGATTGGCCAATTGCTACTTTAAATTCTGTGTTACTACCAGAGTGCAGACATATATCACTAAAACAATCTTAAACAATACTTCTAAATAACATAAAAGGACAAAGATTTAAAAATATAAGATACTAACTGCCTAAGTTGGCAGTCCATCTTGGCATTTTTTATCTTTAAATTATGTTAATTTAAAATGCATAGGACTAGTTCATTAGACTAACCCCATATTGGAAAAGTAATATTAACTATAATTTCGAATTTATGTATTACATCTTCATACAATATATGGCAAGCTATTAGTCAACAGTATAAGACTGGTGTACACAAAAAATCAGATGTGTTACTACAGTTTTTGAACAAAAGATATACCTGTGAAATGTTGAAGTTAGTTTGACTTGCACTCTGACAAGTCAGAGTGCAAGTGATGTTCATGTGAAGAACAAAAATACTTTTGTCCATTATAACAGTTGCAATTGCATTTGTAAAACCTCTATAAACTCCTAAATGCATATTTATAGTTTTTTCAGTATCCCTATACAATGTATCAGGTATTTTCTCTAATGTGAAATGTTGCAAAATGAGCAATGTAGGGTAACACTACATGTTGAACAGCATTCTGTACAGGTTGAGGTATGCACACTTTGACCCCCACATGTGTATATTAGGTTAATTATCTCACTGCAAGTTTAAAAAAAAAACATTATACAAACTGTTTTCAAGTCTTATTTATATCAAGTTCAACAGATTTTAAAAGCAGTTCATAAATATCATTTTTTATATTAAAAATATCTAGTGACCTTGTTTATCTGTCAGTTTTTAATTACTAGTTTTGATAGGTTAACTTAACTTTCAAAGAATTTTCATTTAAAACACAGGAAAGTTTAAATATAAGTATATAATACTATATTAAAAATATCTAGAAATGTGTATCATAATATATACAAAACATTAAACTAATACTAAATGTACTTGTGAAGGATCCCTGAAAGTATTCTGTTTCAAAAATAAAAAAAACTCCTATGACTATTGGCACACACTTTAAATTCCCTTCTGCACATGTCACAAAGTGTTACTGAGTTGCATTCAAAAAATTATTAAAACCACTTTACTATCAATGTATTTTAAAGAAATTAGCATTATCAACTACAATATAATTCAAAGTTTTATATTATCTAAGTATAGTAGAAATTGCAGAAAAAATTAAATATTTTTCTGATCTACGTACTTTTAGGAAAGTTCTTGTCAAATTTTAAACAATTTCATCCAATAGTTTTATTTTAAAACATATATGCCTTTTCCTATCTTGTTTCCTCACTGTTTGGTACATCCATTCCTGCACTTACAAGTTTTTACAGATGTTTTTTCCACTTGTCCATGTACCTTTTTCGTACAAGGTGACATAATCTTATGCATCATTCATTCATTTGTGTTGATATCCTACATGTATAGTATAAGCGTGGGTGTGCACCATAATATTATGTTATGTATTAAATGCTTCTTGAATGCAAACTTCATTTAATTTACAATTTGTATTGTAAATTCCTTGCAAAAGAGTGCATCTTGTCTTCTAGCCTAGATAGTGAAGCTTCTCTCAAGGCTCACCCTACATTGCATAGCCCACATTACTCAGTTTCCAGATCTTGTCACACAATGCTGTAGATTGAGAAGACCACACACCCTTCAGTGTTTTATTTGACCACACCTACCCAGTATAAGGAGTGAGCAAGCAGACATATGTATTTTAAAATTACATCCCTGTTCAAGGTATTACCTGATGTACGTGAAATAGCATATATTTTTGGTGACATTTAATATACAATATAATTTACAATGGATTTTGCAAAAAAACTTCTTAATACTTTATTATATATAGAGAGAGAATGTATAATTAAAGGACTGAGAAAAATAAGACATTATGAAGAATTTTAAAAATATGAGCAATTTCTAAAAGCTTATGGCAAAAGAATACCAAAGATACATCATACACAAATAACTTTAAAGTACAAGTTATACACTTCTAAGCTACTACTGCAAATAGGCTACTTACATCAACAATAGCATCAGCAAGTCCTGGATTACAGAGTGCAAGCCATCGACGAGGTGTTATTCCATTAGTTTTATTCTGAAACTTCTCAGGATTCATTTCATAGAAGTCCTTAAAACTGAAGAAAATTGGTGCCATTTGTGTGAATTATCTTCTCAACCTAGTTTTAACTTTTCATAGTTATTAGAACACTGATAAAATTAATAATGATAACAAACAGTTTCTACTGATGTACTCCTCTGTCATTAGTTTATTTAAAACTGAAGAAAATTGGTGCGTGTTACAGAGAAATACCTCTATTTGTGTGAATTATCTTCTCAACCTAATTTTAACTTTTCATAGTTATTAGAACACTGACAAAATTAATAATGATAACAAACAGTTTCTACTGATGTACTCCTCTGTCATTAGTTTATTATATTAGTCATTTAAGCTCACTTCCAATTCAGAATTGGCTCACACTGTTACTTACACATTACGCTCAGTTTGCAGAACATACCATTGGTTCTACAATACTGTCATAGTGTAGTAATATATCACCTACATATACACAATTCAAGTTTATATGTTTTATTGCCAAAAATTGGGTAAGTTCACAATTTAGGGATGTTTTCACCAAAATATCAGAACTGATTACATTGCAAATACTCATATTTTACTTTCAGTTTGGCTACTTTAGCTGTTTAACTGTACAAATATTAAAATACTAAATAAACAATTTTGAAACAGCATCTGTATGCATAATCATCACACTCTCACTAATTAATTTTTATGTTACTTTCGAACAGTTTCATTTTGTACAAATTACTGTGAATGGATTAAACTTCATTTATTGCTATTTCATCCCTGTAAGTAGTAAAATAACCAATTAACAATACCTGTCTAACATCAAGTAGTTGCCTTTACTTTAGAAATCTTTTATGCTTTTGTTCTCTAAGAAATCTTTAAACATTAGCAATCGATGTGTTCAGAAGATAACAAAGCTTCACAATAAAAAGGATAATGATACTTAAGATAAACAACATTATTTATAACAGAAGGGGGTCACAGATAAACGTTTTGGAACTCTACAGATTTCATCTTTGGTATATAAAGCAAAATAAAAGAATTACATCATTCCTAAGTAAATAACTAAAATATATATAGTATATCAAGTATATACATATTCATCTTCCAATGGAATACACCAGTCGTACGAGTTGCTAAACCCAACCAATGAGCGAAATAGGTAGCATATCATGGGAAACAGAGGGATTCAATAGAACAAATAAACAGGAATGAGAACCACAAAAGAAGGCAGTAGAGTCACATAACATTGCTGGGAATGAACTAGACAAAGAAGTCGATCCATATCTGAATGGGAAAACAGATGGGAAATGGAAGCTACGGAAATAGGAGAAAAGGCCAAACAACCTTCCTGGGTAGCCAATGTCTTGTGAAGGAAGGCTCAATCTGGATAAAAGATAACATAAGAGGAATGGTAAAGTATGCAGGAAACATTAATGGCATAACTATTGTAACAATGATGACCTCAAGCCAGGAGGAGGAGGAAATAGGTCTTAAGGGAAGATGTTATAAGAAACACGTTGCAATGGGTTAAAAGGGAGAACCGAACAGGGCATGAAGGACAACACTGAGATCTCAATCCAACAGAACAAAAGGATGTGACAGATGGACTAGACGAAAGAAATGAAAATAACCTGGGAGGAGAAGCTTTTAATAAATCGGAGAAACAGAAGGTGTTCAACAGGGCAGCCCTATAACCCTTTCCACACAGGTTACAGGTCAAAGGCCATGTCAAACTTTTATAAAACTAATATTTTATGAATTTATGTCCTTAACCCTATCACACCGGGTACCCTTTACTGCGCATGACACAAGGTTTTAGTGTCTTACATTCAAAATTTTATTAAACTACTTTTTGTTTATGTTATACCAATTAGAATAGCATAAAATCTTAGCTAATAATCCATATTTTAATAGTATACAAGTTTAAAGTTCTTAATTCTAAAAGAAAATATTTTTAAAAAATCCTGAATTTCCACTTGTGTAACACACGACACATTTTGTCTTAGCATGTCATCATCCCTATTTTATCCATCACCCCTTGAAAATGTACGAAATTAAATGTAAAGTACTCTATAAAATTATTATTGCTCAAACAGACCATAATTTTTATAGCCTTAAATTTTGTTTGGTTACAGAGCTAGCTATCAAAGAGAAAATCAGACCCCTTCTGCCACACCCACCCGTCACATCCTCTCTTTCGCAATTGGTTGATAGATCTCTCTTATGTTTCATTATATATTACCTATAATCAATAGAAAGTCAAGGTTTTCATCTATCAAATGACATATTGTATAACATTGTGTTCTGAACAGATAACCATCAATTTCACTCGGAGTAGCAACATCGTTCCCATGGGAAAGTTAATGACTAGCTTGGATGAATTTGTAAAAGCTCTTGTTGCATAGTTAGAAAGCCAGGAATATTTTTAGAAGTGAATTTGTCTAATTTTTGTATGTTATTAG